CAGGTGTGTGTGCAACATCGACTGCTCCCACATCAGCTTCAACCCGGTGTGTGCCTCAGACGGCCATTCCTACGACAACCCCTGCCAGGTGAAGGAGGCTTCCTGTCAGAAACAGGAGCGCATCGAGGTCAAGTACCTGGGCCACTGCCAAGGTCGGACACACACACACACACGGATGAACACACACGCACGCTAACACACACAGCGGTGATTAAAAAAAAAAACACACACACTCACACACGCAGCGGAGTCCGTCTCCCTGTCTGCAGGAGCAGGTGTTCACGTTAGGTTGAGGTGAGGCCACGAGGAGGAACACACACACACACACACACACACTCACACACACACACATCATTTAAAATAGACTCCCTCTGTTACAGTCACTGATGTGAGGTTTAATCTCCACAACCACTGACTGACTGTCTGACTGACTGTCTGTCTGACTGTCTGACTGACTGTCTGTCTGACTGTCTGACTGACTGTCTGTCTGACTGACTGACTGGCTGACTGTCTGTCTGACTGTCTGACTGACTGACTGTCTGGCTGTCTGACTGTCTGACTGACTGACTGTCTGTCTGACCGACTGACTGACTGACTGACTGACCGTCTGACTGTCTGACTGACTGACTGACTGTCTGACCGACTGTCTGACTGACTGACTGACTGTCTGTCTGACTGTCTGACTGACTGTCTGACTGACTGTCTGACCGACTGACTGACTGACTGACTGACTGACTGTCTGGCTGTCTGACTGTCTGACTGACTGACTGACTGGCTGACTGTCTGTCTGACTGTCTGACTGACTGTCTGACTGCCTGACTGACTGTCTGACTGACTGGCTGACTGACTGTCTGTCTGACTGACTGTCTGACTGACTGTCTGTCTGACTGTCTGACTGACTGTCTGACCGACTGTCTGACTGACTGACTGACTGTCTGTCTGACCGACTGACTGACTGACTGACTGACTGTCTGTCTGACTGACTGACAGGTTAATCTGTCAGGTTAAATCCACTGATCTGAATCACACAGTTAATCCACCAGGAGGAGACAAAGACAACACTTTTCATTTCACTCATTTTTTGACATTGACTTTTGAAGAGAACACCTCACATTTATATTATTTGTATATATATATTATATATATATTTATCATTATGGAGACGGGGCTGCAGACGCAGACGTGAGCCCTTTTGTTACCTCCAACATTTGCATTCAGTCGTCTGGTACGCCCCCTGTCAGCGGCTAATGGAGCTGCAGACCCTCTGACTGTGTCCCTGTCCTCCACAGGTGACATCTTAACTGGGAACAAAGGAGGGAACGGACAGTTCCCTCACACTGATGTCACGGGTGAGTCTCACACACACACACACACTTGGGAACCAGTGATTGTTCATGTTTTCATCAACACTGACGGTCGAATATTCCCTCGTTGGATTACAGATTAGGGATGGCTCAATCCGATACTCAGCATCGGTATCGGTCTCATAGTGTAGTGGTTACCTCACCTGCCTTACATGCAGAAGGTTCTGGGTTCTAATAGGTTAGCATGTTCATCCAAGAGATTGTTGGTAGCCCCTCAGATTTCCCTGTGTTGGGGGGGCAGTTTCCCTAATCTAATCTAATCCGGAAAACTCAAGTTAACTTTGCATGACATCCTGTAAACCGGAGTACTCCATGTCAGTACCAGCAGATACTCCAAGTATCAGTACAGGTTCCAGATAAGTCACATGAAAAGGTTGAATCCCTAATACAAACCACATTTGGTTTTTGCGCCCCCTAGTGTTGTAAAATCAGACCATAACTCTCGACTTTACTTTCGTCAAATATAGTTTAATACCGACTCTGTTCACTGAGGAGAGAGGATGAGCGTAAACAAAACCACTCATTGGTCGACAAACAAACAATTAAACCGACGAACAAACGGTGCCGGTGAGGACGGATCGGTTCTACGTGTTCACCCCAGACCCTGGTCCCTCTGTACCTGAGCCAGCACTTTCTAAATATAACCACAGATACCTTTAATAATCCATTTCTATGCAGACTGGCCGCATTGACTCATGAATGATTCATGAATGTGTTTGTGAACAAAACAGAGGAAAACGACGACGTGCGGAAGGGGGAAGCCCGCGGACTCTACATTCCCTGTCCGGACGACTACAAAAACTACTGCGTCCACGGAGAGTGTCAGTTTCCCAGGACCCCGGACAAGCCCTCCTGCAGGTACACACACACACACACACACGACTGTATTTGTATTTGTTACGTGTTGAAGTACAAATATTATACATCGCTGTTTTTGAACAGATGGTACGACGTAGTAATATTTGAACAACTGTGTTGAAATGAAAGTGTTAATGATGTTATATTAAAAAAAAATCACAGTACCACCAGTAATTCCACCGTCGTCCACTAATCAGCCGATTAACCAAATTAAACATTTTAACACAGCAGTAGAGTTGATGTAAAATAATATTTAAATATTACATAAATCTCGTTGTCGTTCAAACCAACATCGTAGACCTTTAAAAGTTTCTCTCTGTCGTTTTTTTTTTTCTACCAAACCATGTTCCATTTTCTGTAAATTATGCATCCCCCCGTGCAGTTCCCTTGCTTACCCCTAGGGCTCCAGATACCCTTGCTTGGGAAGGACAGCAGTTTTTGGTTATTTAAAACTACAAGTCTAAATATTACGTAAGTTGTTTATTATTTCTCAGCGACAGGTCAGAGTCAGAGCATGAACAGAGAGCTGTGTTTCTATTGGCTGGGTGGCCAGCCAATAGAAACACTTCAGTTGATTTAGTTCTAGGCTTGTAGTGATTTGGTTTTCAGATTCCTGCAGGTGTTGTCATCTGTCCGACTGTAGTACCTGCTGTGTACTGTATGTGTCACTGTTACTGTTGCAGCAACGTTATAAAGATTCAGAGGAGATGATAATAAAAAAAACACAGAGTGAAGTTTTTCAGCTCTGTCATTTACTGCCTGCAGTACTGAAGTACTGAAGTACTGAAGTACTGAAGTATCTCTGCTGTCTCATCCCAGCCCTGCAGTAATGTTGTGCACTGAGATGTGGTTTTCACAAAGATCTCTGCTGCCCCCCTGTGGTCGTGAGAGGTACTGCCGGTGTCCACATGAGTGTGTGTGTGTGCGCAACAGCGTGAAAAACAGAATAACCCTCTCCCCCTACAGGAGTGTACTGTTCATGTCACGCACTGTCAGGTCACACAGATGAGAGAGAGGGTGTGTGTGTGTGTGGCTTCTGGTAAATCTACACTTGTGGGGACATGGTTTTAGAATAGCACTGTTGTTGTCGGACATTTTTTTTTACATGAAAATGTTAGTGAGGAGCAATCTCTGCAGAGACAGGAAGTGCCACTAGAGGAGAGGAAGGGTGGGAGGAAGGGAGGGAGGGAGGGAGATGAGACGGCCGACCGTTTAGTTTGTCCCCGAGGACACCGCTCGTCCCTCTCTCTGGTTTATTTCCTCGCCTTGTGTCGCCCAATCAGAACTGTTCGTTGCTGCTTAAAGAGACAGAGAAGCAGCCACTCGCCATCTGAGCGACAGCTGTGGAGCCGCTCTAGTGGCCAAAAGATGAACCATTTTAAGTAGTTCATAGAAATCACCTGTTTATTTTCTGTCCCGCTTCTTCGCCCTCCTCTGTATGTGTGTGTGTGTGTGTGTGTGTGATCTCAGCTGTCACTCAGGGTTCCAGGGCCCCCAGTGTGACATCAAGGAGTACAACGTCCTGTACGTGGTTCCAGGCTCTGGGAAACTGCACTACGTCCTGATCGCCTCCATCATCGGCGCCCTCCAGGTGGTCATCATCTGCGTGGTGGTGCTCTGCATCACCAGGTGAGTCCCGACGCCAGAGAAATCCCACTTGTTTCCAAACAGCCATTGTGGTTGTAAGAACAGCCTACACAAACAGACCTACGGAAATTCATGACTCTCAATAAAGAACTAAAAAAAAAAAGAAATTCAGCAGTGAAATAAACGAGCAACGAACAGAGGAAATTACAGCCGTGAATAACAGTCTGAGTCGACTTTATGTGTCCTGCATGCTGTTAGGCAGTATTAATTTTAATGATCAACATAAATCCACAAATATTACACCAGTACACGATAAAACGCACAGCACAGAGTAAATGAGAGGAAAGAGTAGAACAGCACAGAGGCCGTACTGGTTCTGTGCTTTCATCTGGACCGGGTTTGTGATTAGCTTCAAAGCTAAGTCCACACAAGTCAAGACAATGGGTATATGTGTTTAAGGTTACGCGTACGGAACGCCGAGGAACTCACCTTCAGGTTTTGGTCTGTCAGTAAGATAGCTGATTGGCTGATAACTGATTGACTACAGTTACACTGGGAAAATAAAACTAAATATATCGGCATGCCTATAGTATCCCAATATATCGCAATATGTATCACAACGCATCGCAATATGTATCACAATATATCACAATAGGTATCACAATATATATTGCAATATATATCACATTATATATTGCAATATATATCACAATATATCGCAATATATATCACAATATATTGTATTGTCGCTCCGTATTTACGTACGTATCGTTCTTAGAACCCACTCTGCTGCTGCATGTGTCGCTGCCTCGCTCTAACCTGTCAAACTCTCTCTCTCTCTCTCTCTCTCCGTACAGGAAGTGCCCGCGGACCAACAGGATCAACAGACAGAAGCAGAACAACGTCCACTTCAGTTCTGAGAACACCATGCGGGCGTCCACTCGACTGATCTGAGCCCAGACCTGCGGGACAGAGTGGAGACGGCGTCTGATGTCCTCCTCCATGTAGCCCCCACTCTGCTCCCCCCTCAGTCCTGGTCCCCCGCCCCCCCTCCTCACCCACCCTGACCTCGACGCACTAAACGGAGGTGCAGCACCGCCTGGTGGCGACGTCCGACCTCGGAGTAATGTTCATATCAGTCGCCCGTGTCCAGATTGTCTCCTTGCACCTTTGTCTCTTAACGCCCACTTCCAGGTTTTTCCTGAAAAAAACTGAACCATGAGGTGTTAGGGGGCGCTGAAGATACTGAATGTGTGTGTGTGTGTGTGTGTGTTTTAGATGTGCGAGCTTTGGTAGAGACAACCTCGCCACCGTCCGTTGTTTGTAGATGAGGTGTTACAGCAAATCAGGGTAGTGCAGAGCAGGGTCAGGGGCTTTACATGAGGTGTGTGTGTGTGTGTGTGTGTGTGAGAGAGTGCACGTGTGTGTGTGCGTGCGTGTCGTCGGGTCGGGGGAGGAGAGGGTGTAGAAGTGTGGGCGTGTCTGGGGGGGGCTACACGTGATGCCTTGCACCTTGTGTTATAGGAGACCTTTGACAGAGGGCACAATGTTACTATAGAGCGCTCTGATTGGTTGTGACGATGACATCAGCTACTGTACTTGGGTTCTATTTCCAATAGTTATTACTATGTTGTCTTGATGGGGTCATTTTTCTGTAAATGTAAATAAATAATTTATATCACGAAATGTAAAATGCCGCGTCAGTCTGTGTGTCGGAACTGGCGCCGCGCGTGCGTTCGTTCATCGGAACTGTTTTCTGCTCATTAGCGACGTAACGATACTCTACAAATTTTTTTTTGTTCACGATATTGTTCTTCCCACGTTGTGTTTCAACACCCGAATGTCGGCTTAGGCTACGTAGGGACCTGACATCTGGATTTATTAGCGGCTCACGACCAAGGTTTTTTTTTTGGCACATACCGCCACCTAGTGTACTGGAGTGTGTAGTATCATGGTATGACCAGTGACTTTTTGAGATAACTCAGCCTTCTCCTTAAACCTTGATGCGTGGTTCATTTTTTATTTCAGATTTGTTGGTGCGTCGGCCTCACAACGAGAAGACGTCGGGGGTTGGATCGCCCGGCCGGAAAGTTTAAATGTTATCGTCCGTGTCACATGACTGGCTGTATTTTTTTTCTCACAATTTAAGAATAATAATAATTTATTAAATATTAATGATCTCTTCGCCGACCTCGAACCCTGTCCCTGGGAGTGAAGAGCGTGTGCTCCCACAGTGACACCCGTGCAGTTCAACCTCTGGGCCACAGCCCATCTGTGTGTCTGCACAGCTGACCCAGTCAGTGTAATCCTGCCAGTTTCCTGTTTTGTCCTGTCGGTCGGGAGTTCAAATCCAGCAGACCCGAGGACGAGGAGGAGCAGGAAGGAAGTCTCTGTGAACGTCTGAAAATGTCTCTGCTCCCACCTGCAGTGGAGACGGAACCATCAGCTGCTGGATGGAACTCTGGAGGGGAGTCGTGGGGGAGACGCAGCCAATCATCATCATAGGGAGGGTGAAGGAGGGGAGGGGGGTGAGGGTTAGACGCTGGACAGAACTCCAGGACATTACCGGGAACGGAGACGAACAAACAATTAACTAGGGGTGTATATTGGCAATAATCTGGCGATACGTATCACGAAACGTATCACGATACGAAACGTATCACGATACAGGGCCAACGATACAATATATTGCGATATATTTGGATACAATAGGCACTGTTGATGTATTGAGATTTTTTTTAAACTATTTAATTGTAGTAAAACTGTCTGTTAATGAAAATCCAGATAAACTAAATATCGCGATATTTCAATGTATCCATATTTTCTTACACCCCTACAGGTGACAAAAAGACAAATCGAACAAACTCGTCGTTATCATAAACCTCCCAGTGTATGAGCAGAGCTGCAGCTCTCTGACAGCAGGATATATATGGACATATATGGACATATATGGCACCTTGTGTTGTCGACGGTGAAACCTGACACCAATCTTCTAGAATCCTCTCCTCCTCTGACGACAGGTTCTGACACGCAGCTTTGTTCGAGTCAAATACAAATCCATGGTCTGTCGTGGAGGGAACCACGGACTCAGTGTCAAAACAACAGGAGTCTGGGTGGTGACGGGGGGTCGGGGGGGGTCGGGTCACATGGTACTGAACCCAGTGGAGATACAGGTCACTGAAATGATCCGGTTCGTTTGAGTCTTTGTCCCTCCCATCTACAAAACCAGATTCCTTAACTTTTTTTTTTTTGTCAATTTCTTAAGTCATTTCCTAAAACCACAGACTTTACCCTGGGGACTTGAGGAAGACTCGTCGGTTTCTAATTAACGGAGACCTCGGACCAGTCGGACCAAAACGATCCTTTACCAGGAACGACGAACCGCAGTACAGGAAGAATACCTGAAGGGGGAGCACCGATGCACGGGTGGAGAAAATGACAGGTTAATGAAAGTCAATCAGCTCAGAGTCTCACGTCTGATCTTCACTGAGGAGGATCAGCTGAAAACCTCAACACCTTCACTGGAGGAACTCCGACCAATCAGCTGTCGGCTGGTGCTGGACAGGAAACAGGTTTCACAGTGTGTGTGTGTGTGCGACAGTGTGTGTGTGTGGTACAGTTCAACACCTCATCACTCGGTCTATTGGCTCCCGGTGGATACAATCACAGAAGCCAAACTGCAGGAAACACCAACACTTTCTCCACGATAACAAGTCGGCCTTTAAGTGAGCGCGTGTCTGACACCTGCTGGTCGCTGAAAAAGGGTCATTTAAAGATTTACCACCATCTGTTTTGGCCCCAGCGTGTAATTTTCTCACCGACGTGGGCCTTTGATTTAGCCACAGAAAGACACCGTTTCTCCCCTGTTTCCCACTGAGTCGCCACAACCAGTCTGAGCCGGTTCCGCGACTCAAAGACGGCGGCGGAACCGTACGTGTCATCAGAACTATGGCCAGCAGGGGGCTGCTGGAGTTAATGATGAGCTTCAGGGGTCCAGTTCAAACACAACGACGTGGTTTCTCTCCTCCGTCTCCTCCGTCTGCCGTCTTCTTCTTCAGAAGGATGACCTTTGACACCATGTGACCACCAGGTGACCACGACTCCCCTGTGTGGACAAAGGAGTGAAATACACTTTCTTTAAATGCTTCAGTAAATTTAATAAATTTCCAATTAAAGTTGGTTAAGGTGACCACGACTCCCCTGTGTGGACAAAGGAGTGAAATACACTTTCTTTAAATGCTTCAGTAAATTTAATAAATTTCCAATTAAAGTTGGTTAAAATAAGACGTTTGATCTGACTTTTAAAAATTGAAAAAATTAATTTTGAAGGTAAACAAACCTGATCTAATTAAACAAAATTTGAACATAATAAAAAAAACATGGCCCAGAATGAACCAATAAATACAGAGCAGAAGAAAGTTCCAGTTCCAGTTCTGGTTCTGGTTCTGGTCCATCAGTGAGTCCTGCTCCACCTTCCTGTTCAGAGCCGGTTCTTTTTGGCGTGAACGTGAACCAAACGGACGTGAATTTTAAATTTGTTTTTTTTTTATCGTGGCTCCGCCCAGAATCAGCTCCGACGTTGGACCCAGTTACGAAGGACAAAAGTGAAACCTTTGCTCGTTTCGTTGCTGTTGTCATCGCTGCTGAGACTTCTGGGAAATAACCCAGTGAACGCAGACGACGATTTCAAATCACGGCTCCTGCCAAAAAAACTTCACTGTCGTCAAAGACTTTTCTCTGCTGCTCCAGGTCACACAAACAGACGAGGAGTGCACGAGATTTACATCCAGCTGGAAGTGTGTGTGTGCGTATATGTCTGTGTATATGATTGTATGTGTATGTGTGTGTGTGCGTGCGTGTGTAGCTTTCAAATCAAACATCCGCAAAAACTCGTTCAACAACAATCGTCAGCTACAGTCGTTCAGCCACGTCGTCTGCCAGCAGCTTAACGGTCACACCGGTGCCACACCCGCCCATTCATCCCCCCCCTCCGCCTCCGCCGCCTCCCCTATCATCAGGTTCTTTTTCCCAAGATGCAATGTTTTCATGTTTCGACATGTTTTGTTGAAATTATGTCATAGAAAAAAAATGGATTCTTCTCTCCAGAAACTTCTCACAGTCAGAGTGAAGTCGTCACTGATTCACTGACGTTAGTGAGGATTAGGCCGTGCAGTTATACCTGTAACCTGCAGAGGGCAAAGTTCTCCAAGTTGATCTGTGGTGGGTGTCCAAACACAGAATCAGTAACTTTTCTTTAGTTTGTTTGAGCGAATTACTGTTCATTCACCTTCACCTCAGGTTGGACAGAAGAAGAAGAAGAAGAAGAAGAAGAAGAAGAGGAAGAAGAAGAAGAAGAAGAAGAAGATTTTTGGATTTTTAAAATAACACTTCATTAACAAAATAAGAAAAAACTGCAAAGCCAACAGTTCCATAATCAAGAGACAATCAACAAATTAATTTAAAAACTCTGCAAAATGTAGTTCATTGTCAGCCCCTCATGAGCGCCCTCTGTTGTTCAAACATGTCAGTGTTGTTTGTGATCCTGTGGAAACTGAACTCCAGCCTCAGTCTGGCCTTCACACTGTGCCACAGGACCACAGCGTCAAGAAGAAGAAGAAGAAGAGGAAGAAGAAAAAGAAGAAGAAGAAGAAGAAGAAGAAGAAGAAGAAGAAGAAGAAGAAGAAGAAGAAGAAGAAGAAGAAGAAGAAGAAGAAGAAGAAGAAGAAGAAGAAGAGGAAGAAGAAGAAGAAGAAGAAGAAAATACAAATGTTGATTTAAGGATGGGAGAACAGAGACGAAGCCAGAAGACGGACAGGACGGATGGAAGCGACGCTCCCTCCACTCTGCGTCCCAGAGGTCAAAGTTCAAGGGCCTGGTATGGCAGCTCACACTTTTCTGTTGACACTGTGTGTGTGTGTGTGTGTGTGTGTGTTTCCATGGAGACGGTGACACAGCAGAGCAGAGACAGGAACACAGGAGTGATTGATCTGGACGAAGGTGGGACTGAACCAGGCACCGCCGCGTGGACCAGTCGTCCACATAATGACTGGGTTCCAGTCCCTCCTCTGGGTCAGTGGAGCTGGGCTGGTGGGCGGAGTCAGACCTCAGACCTGGGGGGCAGTGGATTTGGTTTTTACTTCCTTCACTCAGACGGTGAGATCACTGGAACTGACCCAGCTGTCGTCCAATCAAACGCAGGTGTGGATTTAACAGCAGATTCTTCTCATACCTCGGTCCGACAGGAGTCCGACAGGAGTCCGACAGGAGTCCGACCATCCAGACACCGTGGTCTCTCCACGCTGACACCGTGGACGCTGTCAAACTGTGTGTTTAAATTGATGAAAGCGATGATTGTTGTTCCCACAAAGAAAAGATTTACAGCAGCGGGGACACAGAGAGAGTGGGGCAGGGGCACCAGGCCGGGGCAGGGGCCGGGGCAGG